TGAGGGTGGTGAACCCCCGGCCCAGGCTGCCCAGAGAGGTGGTGGATGCCCCGTCCCTGGGAACACCCCAGGTCAGGCTGGATGGGGCTCTGAGCACCCTGCTCTGGTTGGGGACGTCCCTGCTCATGGTGAGGGTTGGACTGGGTGAGCTTTGAAGGTCCCTTCCCACCCAAACCGTTGGATGGCTCTGGCTGGCTGCGCAGCGAGAACCAGGCACACGGCTGAGTGCCGGGAGATGGCAGCAGAGACGGGCTGCAGCCGACTCCATCCTCCCAGATCACTGGGCACAACCACCTCGGGCTTGGGCTCAGCAGCAAGAGGGACCACGACGCAGGGAGAGGGAATCTCGCCTGGAAAAGGCGTTTGCAGCCCCGTCCGGCTGGGTGGAGGCATGGCGTGAGCTGTGCGACCGTCGGTAAGGAAAGGACTAAGATCACTTTGCTGCTGCCGCTTTCCCATGCAACCGCACGCTGCTCTCCGGGACGAGCAGGTCCTCCTGCATCCCTCCTGCACTCAGGGATGGCTGTCGGCACCGCTGAACCACAGCCCAACCCATGGCTGCGGGGAGAGGTACGCTACCCACGCTACGCCCCAGCCAGGCGCCCAGTCAATAGCACTGGGGACAGGCCCTTGACCAGTGACACTCCGAGCTGCTTACCTTGGATATGTAGAAGGCCTCTGCGTGCTTCTTGTAGAGGGCAAGGATGCCTGGAATCAGCTTAGGGAGCTGCTCCTCCAGCTTTTCACTGGGCATCAGGTAACTCATAGGACCCATAGCCTCCACCACGGCCAGTCTCAGCTGCAGGGAGAGATGGCGCGTTAACAGCGTGGCCAAACCCCGGACGGACAGGCCTGCCGCAGCATCGCTCCACTGCTACGGAGCTGCTCGCCCGATGCTCGCGGGAGCCTCTGCCCAGGGGCAGGGACAGCATTTCGCCTGGCTTTGCCCGTCTAAGTGCAAGGGGGGCTCAGCGGAGCAGGGGGACGCCCGAAGACGTCACCTGTGCCTGCAGAGGACAGAAGCTGGCCAGCCATCTCCCAGCTGTGGCATACGCCCAGGCTGTCCCCCAAAGGGCTGCAGAAGCACTCCATGCTCTGCTTTCCAGCAACGGGGAGCAAGCGACCCGTTCTGCACGTATGGGACACGAGGACGGAGGGAACTGAGCAGAGCTGCAGGGCACAAGGAGAAAAGGACCCAGCCCTAAATCCGAGCCAGGGGCTTGCTCTTTTAGGGGCCTCATCCTTACAAAAGGGCACAGCTGAGATGCTGCAAGGCCAACGTCAACCCCCGACTCCGCACTGAGGGAGGTCCTGCCGTGCCTCCCGTCCCCCCACCTTGGCTTCCCGGTGCTGCAGCCAGCTGTTGAAGAGCACTTCGTACGCACTGAAGATCTCGTTTGAGAAGGTGTCCTTCCTGACCGTGGGGTCCGGGGCCTTATCCAAGTTTGCCAAGTACTCCTGGATGCTCTCACTGAAGTGCTGCAAAGCTAGGAGGCAGATCGCGTAGTTAGATTTTCCACATGTACAAGACAGTGTTCGTTTTAGCCCCTCCAGAAAGCAGATGGTTTTATAGGGCAGCAGATCACGGGCCACAAG